AGTTGGAAAAAAAGTTATAAAAGCCTAGAACAGCAACCAACTCAGGGTTTATCCTTTCCATACCACGCTTTTAATCAAAATAGTATTTCTGGAGTCCTGGGTCATCTACTGGTACTGAAAATGGTCCATCAGAACTGCACACAGAATTCCAAGAGTGCTCTCATCCGTCTCCTATACGGACATGAACACTTCCTGACCTCTGTTAGAAATACTATTGGTGATGCATCCTAGAAGATTATTTGCCTTTTTTATATTGGCACCTCATCCTCATTCTGTTAGGTACTCTGTATACTCTCTATCCTTCTCTGTCATTTCTGATTTATAACTTTTTAAGTATAGGATCTTACATATTAAACACCTTCCCATTTCTATTACTCTGCTCAAAACCACCCTGCTATTTATGTATTATATCCTTAGGTATTTCCAGAGTAACAATACTTTCTAATTTCTTTTCATCAGCAACTTTTATCAGCGTAATCCTACTTTTGGTGACATTCAGTAACAAAGCCATTTAATAAGACTAATTCTTGAGGAAAAACTACTTGTCATTTCCCTCAACACTAAATGTTTCAGCTTTCTGCATGACCTGATGCACCTGTTCAATAACTAGCTTCTTATCCACTAATGTAATTCTTGCACTAAAACACAGTTTAAGTAGTAAATTCTCACTGTTGCATCATATCAACTGCTTTACTAAAACAAATAAATTAGATCTACAGTTTTTCCTTTGTCAAAAACCAAAAATCAATCATCTGATTAAAGAACTTTAGTTAGTCTGACATGATACACCATTGTGTTGCATTTTATCCAATTTTCCATTTAGCTCCAAGTCTACAATTACTCTTTCCTTCAAACACTGTTCCAAGCCTTGCATACCTCTGAAATCCAACTAACAGGCCTGTACTTGTTTACACCGTTTTTCTCCTTTCTCTAAATAGTGGTGCTGTATTTGCTATAGTACAACATCCAACCCAATACATTCATAGAAAGGCCTGAGTTACCAGACCCATTTTCACTTTCTTTCAGCTTTCTAGGATGGAAATTATTGTTCCCTCTCATTTGCACAATTAAAGCACTTTGAATTTTGCTTTCAATTTGGACATCATAATTTCATCGCCATATCCTTTCCTAATAGCCAGCCACCCCATGTCCAATGCTGTCCAGGATTTTGAATCCAAGCTAAAAAAAAACAAAAAACACTTTTATCTTCAACACTTTTTTCTGTGTAGCAGCCCCATTCTTTCCCTGCTTTCATGTTATTTATAAAACTAAAATTTTTACTATTTATTTAAATTAATTATGAATTACTTATTCTATTTCAAGGTCTAACTTTTCTGGACTTTCACCTGTTCGTACCTCATTCTTTTATTATCTCAGCTCCAAGATGTAGGTTTTTTTGGCTCATTTTTCTTTCTCCCCTTTTTCAACAATCTCATCTCGTTTCTGTTTAACATCTTCGATCCTTTACTCACCAAATGAAAATAGGAAGAGCAGCATATATTAATCTAAATACTATTTTCTTTATTTCACCTCCTCCTTTCAAATTCTATCTTGATTAGGTATTTATGTTAAGGAAAAATTGTTGTAATTTGTCAGACACACGATTCTGTTGTGATTTGTAGAGAGTTTTTTTGTTGTTGTTGAACCAAAGAAGCTGCTATTTCTCAGCTTGAAAAATAGCATAAGTCACAGTGATTTTTTTTTTAATCACAATAGAAGCTGATACCCTTCTTAGGAAATACTGCAGATAATTACCTTGATTATATTTTCTCTCTCTGAATATTAATAAGATTAATTAGGAACACTACTACAAGCATTTTGCAGCACAATCCCCATACGAGAATTTTCTACATGTAAAGATCTATACTTAGCTTCTGTCTATCCTATGAGCACATAAGTGAAGGGAAGGTCACAGAAAATTCTGCAGTCCTCTGGGAAAAGATAAATTTGCAGCAAAATTAAAGGGAAAGTTAACAGACATTCTCATGAAAAACATGCCATGTAAGTAGTTCCCACAAAATCCTTTTGGAAATTCCATATTTTTAATACTACTGAAGCCAAAGATGTGGTCCACAGACTTTTGGGCATCTCTGAAGAACACTGTCAGCAAATAACAGCAAGGAAAGAGAAAAGTAAGGTTTTAAGAAGAAAAATGAATCAAGGATTCCTGGGAAATGTAAAGTTTAATGAAACTACGCAAGTGATTCTCTCATCTAGGTGCTTGAGGAATGAAAGAAGTGGGGGAAAAAATTACTTTTCCAATTTTAATTTATTTTCAGTATAAGTGCAATCTAAGCGCTCTATCTGTATTAATTCTGCAGAAATAAAATAATCTGAGTATTGAAAGTCTCAAAAGTTCACTGAAAGCTAGAACATGTAAATGTTTGAATGCTCCAAAAGTCATCCGTTCCTTGCTTTAATCTCTTTATATGGGAAATGCTATCAGTTTCTTGAAGATTCAAACATAATACAAAGTTTGAAAGTTTCTGAAAATGATGAGCCAAAATATGGCTAAAACCAACTACTGTAATATAGAAGCATATGTTTACTTTGATTGTTTCCCTTGATAGTCATTCTTACCTATATATCATAAATCTAGATGCAAACATGTGGCTCTGAGAAATGACAAATACTATAGTAATACTAGCAGCCTGAAGACTAATGTTGCAGTTTTATTTAACAGTTATATCCAGAATCTGTTCTTGTGGTTGCCACAGCTTTGAAATCTCTCTTAAATGTATCAGCAACCAACAGGTACAGATAGCTTTTAAAAAAAAAAAAAAACATGAAAACACTCACCTTGCTGTCTCCCTCCATTCAGCGTCTTCTCCTTCACGCCAACAAATTTCATCAAGCTCAGTGAAGAGATCGTGAGGAATGTGTTCCTCATCATCATCTTCAGTTCCAAGAATAAACTGCACCCTTTGTGATGGGGTATCTGGGAGCAAAATAAAAATATCAAGTCCAGAACACTAATTTGATTACCTCAAGCAAGCAAATACCTAAAATTTCATGAGATTATCCAGATTCTTTTACCCACGTCACTTACTGCTACACATAAAACCTGATTATACTTTTGTTCTAAGCACATTTGTACACAAACACCTTCAGATTGAGACCTGTTCATTTACTGCAGTTGCTTAGCCTAATTAAATAAATACAACTAAAGACAGAATGCGACGTATAGAAGTATTTACTACTGGAGGCTAAAATGATGTCTGTTAGAAAAAAAGAAAGCTAGTAGCATAGACACAGCTGACAAAAGCCATTTACTTCATTGCTATAGAAATACTTTGCCACATCATAAGCCTAAACATACAGAGCTCTAGCTCAGTTCACAAAGCTGGAATATTAAGTTTGCATGCTGTGTTTTCCTTAGCAGGAATAAACTGTTAGGTCCCAAAAACCTCCCTAAAATTTCAATATTTAACTAGGAACTTAGAAAAGAATACATCATCAGTTACACCTACCCTGGCTTGACCTTTGGTAAACACTTCTATGTAATTAGGCCGTTCCAGACAAACAAGCTATTTATCTGTCCCAACTTCCCCATTTTATTCTTCTTGTCTATCTTCCCTTTAAATTCATATTACCATTTCATAATCTTCTCACTACAAATCACTCAACAGATTTCAGAGATACACTACTCTTTCCATATTACTCAGAAACCAGAACTCAAAGTAATGTACTTGTATATTCAGTTTAATTGGTCAAATGTTGCAAGTCTAAAAAACCTCATTTTTATCAAAACGCAAATCTCAAGCTAACAACTCTGGAGGGAACCCAGCCTCTCCAGAAATTGTTATTTTTTCTGCTAATGTATTTTAGAGTTCCTAGAAGAACCAGAAATCCTTTGTGAGAGCTGACAGGGGTCATGCTGCCAGTCAGCTGAAAAATTCATTATCCAACAAAACAACTCAGCAATTCCTTGAACACTGTACAAATGAAGTTCTGTTTTACAACCATATTCCTAAGACAAGCGATGCTATTTCCCATCCAACAGTGAAGAGCAATACTGTGTAGGACCCTTGAGCTCTTTGAATTTTTGGAATCTCTGAGAAGATAGCACTCGCTGAAGGTTAGTTAAAGAGCACATACAGTGCCGAGCAAAAATAATGAAATCGGCAACTGATACAGTAGATTAAATTTGGCAATAAAGATACCTTTTTTCTGTGGCAAACTTTTTAGAATAATGAAACAGCAAAAATACATGACAGTTTTCAATGTCACAAAATACTTGACAGTTTTTCTCAAACACAGTGTAAAGATACAGTATAGTGAAGTCTATCTACTCCCTCATAAAGCAAGGGAAAAAAAGCCAGGATGAAATATGGGGAAGTGGGGAGAAAGAGATGGCTTCAGGTAAAACTAGGAGCTCTGGAGACCCGTCCCTAAAGGGGGCAGAAATTACCTTTAGTGAATCATTAAAGAAGAGAGGTAACTTCCTTCACTTTAGCCTTGTTTTTATTATGTTTTTCAGTCTTTTCTCTCACTGTTTAATCCTCTTTTTTTCTTTAAGGCCATCTCTAACTTTCCCACTACTCTAGATCCACCTCCTCCATCTTCTCTCTGCTTTTTTAATGTTCCTTATCTCCACATTTTGGTTCATTCTAGAGCAGGATAAAGTAAATAGAACTATCAAGATTTAATTTGAAACTAGAGAGTGCATTTTGGTCAAAAAGAAGTGGGCAACTTATTCAGACCGACTCCCAGAAGGACTAAATTAAACGAAACATCATCTTACAAAGGACAGGAGTACATAATTAGTGACAGAACATGGAAAACAAGCTACATCTGAAAAGACCTAGACTGCAGAGAGAATCTGAGAACAGGCATCGCCAGGAACATCCAGTACTCTGGGTAAAATCAGCACTAGGAACTGATCTACAGCAACAGCTACTGTCAAGCAATATTGAGTAGCGTTTTACAGCAGAGCACCATCTTTATGACAATTATTATATTCAAACAAATGCACATTTTCAACGTGGGAAGGAAAGCAGAGGATCAGAAACGCCTCAAAATCCGTTCAAGTCAGATAAGCGGTAACCAGGAAACACCATATTGCTGTGATTTGCTCTTTCTGGGTCTTCTGTGTAACATATGACTACTTGCCTGACAGCAGTGAGGAATCTATATAAGCAATAAAAAATACACTTAATTCTCTCCTTTCTTGTTAACACACCAGCAAAACTACTTGCTAGGTTCCAGATATATTTTTGTTGCTGGTAACTTCTATTTGTGTCAGAAATCTGCAAAGCAAAGCTTGATTTTCAGATATCAAGCTGGAAACTGAAAAAGAATGTTGTTCAATTTAGAATATGATGTTTTATTTCAAGGACAAAAACATAACAGAATTAAACAGCAGCAGCAGAATGCAAAGAAAAAATCAGACCTATTGGTTTTATTTATAAAACTTAACAGGATTACTCATGTGAGCAATACCAGATGAATTCAGCTTTTATTCATAGGAGTAAAAATACCAAATATGTCATAAATGTGTTATATGGAAAATTAGTAATATGTGATTCAAAATCAGTATGAAAAAATATTTAAATTGCTGACTGTCAAACTGTGACAACTTAATCCCCAGTGTAAAGGCATATTTGCAAAATACGAAACTCAATTTCTTCAAAGGTAGGAAAACAGAAATTGGCCTAAGTATTATTATTAGTCCTCTATCCCTCCTTCAAGTAGAACAGCCAGGGTTTAAAAAAAAAACAAAAACAAAAACAAAACATTTTATTACTGCTATTTCTGAAAAAGCAATGAGAATAATCTAGACTAAGCTAAAAAATAAAGAGAGTGGGACCAATGTGCTAAAGTGTATTTCTATCACTACCATTGCTTTACATCAGAGCACAAAGAAATTAGAAGCAACATGGAACTGAAGTTGCACAAAAAGCAGCTGATGATTCTCCCAAGCTGCCTTAGCACCAGCTCAGGAAACACTCGAGGACCTGCTGGAACCAGGAAGAAAGTGGTTTGGTACACAGCAAGAGCAGGAACACTGTCAACAACCACCAGTGCCTCTCCAATGAACTGCCTCAGTCAGAAAAAGTTGAAGCAGCTTTCTGTTTGCTGTGGCTCTGCCACCCATGGGAGTCTCCCAGATTCAGCGCTACACCTGGGCTTCCTGCTCTCATCACCTGTGCAGCACTCTCACAGAACAGCCAAAGGATCTCTGGTATCTCAAAATCATTGTACGTGTGCTATACAGCAGCTCATGCTCTAGTCTCTTTGTGAAAGCCAAAGACCACTAAAGTGCTCTGAGCAAAACCTCAGAATTCCAGCTGTAAAAAAATTATACCTCCACTGCGACATCAAAAGTGTAAAAATTGAGAGAGCTAGTGGATATGGTGTTGTCAAAAGCATGAATTCACACTGGGATTCAGTACTGCAGAAAGGACCTGACCCTGCAGCAACCTGACTGACACACTGCTATGATTACTCTCACCATAAGGTCACTAACATCCCTAAACTAAAAGCAAGATATGGGCATAGACATGCAAAAACAACGGAGCTGAAAGCCAGAACTGCTGGTAACCTAATTCCTGGAGGGCAACAGGAAAAGCTGTTCCCTGGAACAACACTGAATGGAAGCAGGAACAGCAGCACACACTACCATCCTGCCTTGCAAACTGCAATTGGCACTTCCCCCATTTAAACTACCCCAAGTACAACACCACTTCTGGGTCAGGACCGCTCCCCTCTTGCCACAGGGAACAAGGTGAATGCAAGACTTGGGGTGCAGTATAGAAAGCAGGATCACTCCCAGTCCCTCCATGGTAAGTTCAGGATAGGAAACAACCTGCCCCACCCCACCATTCAGACTGAAATACATCTCCTTCTCGGCACATGCCAGGGGGGTTCCTCCTGAGACAGGCAGGACTGTATGCTATCTGCCCAATCCATACCACAAGCAGAAACACAGCCTTGAGTATGTATAAAATGTATCCCAAATTTTGTCCTCTGTTCTTGATGAAGTTCATAAAGGGTATAAAAATGTACTTCTGATAACAGTCGTTCTATCAGTTCATTTGTCAGAACAGGACTTTGAATTATTAAGTCGGCTGAGAACCTGCTTCTAAGGGAAATATTAGTAGGTCAATATTTCTCCCAGGGGCCGGTAAAGGGAGTAGTAAAGACAGGCTACACACAGGGTAGCATGTAGTGAACTGGTTTAACAGCCTGAAGAAAAGTAAGACACAGCAAACATCAGTTCCCATGCTACGCAACTAGCTGCTGAGAGACAAAGGTGCGCCTGGGCACAAGATGATCAAAGGGGGCCTCTGCTGAGCCGAAGGGGCAAAAGTCCAAACTGCAGTGGGTGGAGGTGGGGAAGAGCCCTCATTCCCTTCCAAGGGGATTCAGCCAATCTCGTGATGAGTGTGGCAAACATCTATCCATATATTTTCTAGCTCGGGAAAACCTCCTAGCTTCTGGGTCACAGCCAGCATCCCACCATGGCCCCTGCGTTACACTGGGGCACGATTAGGCACACAGGATTCCCCACTCCCTGGTTCCCAAGGAGGTGGGTGCAAGATATTCAGGGCAAGGATGCAGATTCTTGTATTTCGCAGATTCTCCTGGTTGAAACCTTGTAGAGCGGCCTTCAATAAAAAGGCAGACTGTTCTTTGGGTCACGTGTTAGTAGTTACCAGGACTTCTCACTGATGAGTTCTGTGCACAGAATATAAAAATACCAATTTTTAGACTGCATAAATTAATATAAATTAAAATCTTTTTACTGTGAAGTTTTACTTGGAAAAATGGATAAAAGATGTCCCTTTAAAGGTTGGAGCTTTACTGGACACACAGAAAAGAAAACAACAAGCAGGATACAGACACACCATACCTTTCTGAGAAGCCCTTAAAAACTGAGTGTTGGGGCTGGGAAAAAGTATTCCCTTCCTTGCTTCTCTGAAACTTTATCCCAGC